TTTTTTTCTTAAGAAAATCTTAATTTATGCCATCTTATTATATATGTATTTTTTCTCATAGACAGCCTTATATTGTTTCTGCAGTAGTTCAGATTATGATATATTGTATGTACATAAAACCATCTTGGATGCTTCATAGTGACTTCATTTACTTTAGCTTTTTTTCTTAAGGGATAGATTTATTTTTATATAGGTTTTTGCAGAGTTTTGATGACATGACAATGGTTATATCACAAAATTGTATTGTTTTAATGGGATAATCAAGTGGTAAAATAATCGGCCTAATGGCCATAATTAACTTGATGTTATAATTCTAGCCTTGTCTTTCACAACACTATTACTGTTTTCTTACAATATGCTTTGTTTTGTACTCTCAATCTGCATGCGACAGTTTATTGCTATGCGATTTTTAGAAATACTGTTGTGCTGCCAGGCCAGTGCATAGCAGTTAACTCTCTCTTAACTCTGGTGAGTCTGCTAGGCTCGTATATGGTGTCATCTTCTGCACCCATCAGACTTCTTGTCTTTTTTAGCACCTTATTTTGAGTGATCACAAGCATATTAATCTCATTATACAGCTTGTCTTGCTTCTGCTCTAAGTTCGTCATTCTGTTTTTGGAAAAGATAATGTGAATGGATATTGGTTTCTAAACCTCATTTGCTTTGATTGGTTTGGAGCTCTATCTGGATTTTCTTATTATCCTGATAATATCATCAAATTGATAACATAAATATTATTTATACAATTTTTTAAACTATTCTAATACCTTCAAGTAAAATTATTTAGACTTCTCTACAAGTCTCTGAGGTAGGGAAGGCAGGAAAATGACCTTCTTACAGATGACAAAAACAAGGACAAAATCATTTACATGAAGATGAGACTTGCAAATCAGTGGTAAAACTAGGGCTAGACCCAGGCCTCCTCATTGCTATGCCATACTACCTTTTAAAAGGTCCAAAGAAGTTCCAACTTACATTGTAAACACTATATCATCTTTATGAACCTCTTAAGGTTAAGGATGGGAAATGGGCAAAGGTAAATTGTATCACTCATGCTCATAGCTGAGCAGTCTCAGAAATGAATTTCATTTGATACTGTCATGATTTTCTGTTCTTGAAATTATAGTTCCTTTTAACTACAACCCTTATCACTATCACTTTCCATTATGGAAGGAGGAAGCAATATTTGGGGGGGCGGCGGGGGGGACAGAGTCTCACTCTGTTTCCCAGGCTAGAGTGCTGTGGCGTCAGCCTAGCTCACAGCAACCTCAAACTCCTGGGCTCAAGCGATCCTCCTGCCTCAGCCTCTTGAGTAGCTGGGACTACAGGTGTAAACACCACCACGCCCAGCTAATTTTTTCTATGTTAGTAGAGACAGGGTCTTGCTCTTGCTCAGGATAGTCTCGACCTCCTGACCTCAAGCAATCTTCCCGCTTCAGCCTCCCAGAGTGCTAGGATTATAGGTGTGAGCCACCGCCCCCAGATGAAAGCTATATTTTATCTTATCTCTTGAAAATTAATGTTGAAATGGAAACTATTTCGCTTGGTAATTAGTAACTTTTTTTTTGAGACAGGGTCTTGCTCTGTCACCCATGCTGGTCTCAAACTCCTGGCCTCAAGCAGTCCTCCCACCTCAGCCTTCTGAGTAGCCGGGATTACAGACAAAGTGCCCTGTACTTTTTTTTTAGATTCTTTGAATTCATCTTTAATATAAAAATAATTTGCTACTGTTACCATGCATATTCATTAAAGAGCCAAATAATACGGTAAATGCCATGGTGTTTGGTAAAACATTATAATTTTAACCAATGTCTGCATTTAAAAAGGAAATTAAAAATTCATGCTTATTGTCTACATGGAAAATTTCCATATTTTGTATTCTAACTAATTGTTTACATACAGCACATAAGCTCAAGCTACTTACAATTATAGTTGACCCTTGAACAACCTAGGGGTTAGATGTGCCGACCCCCCGTTTAGTCAAAAATCCATGTATAACTTTTAACTCCCTAAAAACTTTACTAATAGTCTACTGCTGACCAGAAGGCTTACTAATAACATAAACAGTCAACACATATTTTGTATGTTATGTTTACTAGATACTGTATTTTTACAATAAAGCAAGCTAGAGAAAAGAAAATATTATTAAGAAAATTACTATATAAGGAAGAGAAAATGTATATATTATTCATTAAGTGGAAGCGGATCATCGTAAAGGTCTTCATCCTGGTCTTCTTCATGTTTAGTAGGCTAAGGAAGAGTAGGGGTTGGTCTTTCTGTCTCGGGCTGGCAGAGGCAGAGGAAATCTGCATGTAGGTGGATCCGTTCAGTTCAAACCCATGTTCAAAGATCGACGGTATATTTATTCTTTACCACAGACCTATGAGAGTAGCTGTTATTTTACAGCCCCATTTTACATCCAGGTATTATATTCAACAGTAAATATTGTCTTTTGCCTCTCCTTCAGCTTCTGGAATTTCTCAGCAGCCCTGGTCAGTACAAGATGGACCCTGTAGTCTTGAGTTACATGGACAGTCTACTGCGGCAATCAGATGTCTCCCTATTGGATCCACCAAACTGGCTTAACGACCATATTATTGGGTTTGCCTTTGAGTACTTTGCCAACAGTCAGTTTTGTGACTGTTCTGACCATGTCTGCTTCATCAGCCCTGAAGTCACCCAGTTCATCAAGTGCACTAGCAACCCAGCAGAGATCGCCATGTTCCTTGAGCCTCTGGACCTCCCCCACAAGAGAGTTATATTTTTAGCCATCAATGATAACTCCAACCATGCAGCTGGGGGAACCCACTGGAGTTTGTTGGTTTATCTCCAAGATAAAAATAGCTTTTGTCATTACGATTCCCATAGTAGGAGCAACTCAGTCCACGCAAAGCAGGTAGCAGAGAAACTGGAGGTTTTCTTAGGCAGAAAAGGAGACAAACTGGTCTTTGTGGAAGAGAGAGCCCCTGCTCAACAAAACAGCTATGACTGTGGGATGTACGTGATATGTAACGCTGAGGCCTTGTGTCACAACTTCTTTAGGCAGCAGACAGAATCACTGCTGCAGCTACTTACCCCTACATACATCACAAAGAAGAGGGGAGAATGGAAAGACCTCATCAACAGACTTGCTAAAAATTAGCTGTCGAAGTCTATTTGTGACTTTTGAAGTCTCCTCTTTCTGCCCTTCCCCATTTGTTGATGACTGCAATCTCAGTGCCTGAGGGAAGATGCCTAGTAGAGAGGAAAGCTTAGTATTCTTACTTTTTCCTGAACAAATGTTATCCTCTGCATTATCCTAATGGACAGTTTCACTTTAACCCTGCCTTGAGAGCAATATGGTCTGTGAAAATGTCTTGAAATCGTACACCAAAACCTTACAACCAACTTATCTGAACATTTATTACAAACAAGGTTCAAGTAAGACTTTTCTTATTGGTATAAAATTAATTTCCTTTTGGTCCCCCTTGTCCACATTGGCTTATTCTAAAGGAAAAGCAGTGCTCTGGAAAACAAATCAAGAATATATGAAATCTAGAGGAATGCAAGGAAGGAAACTATAGAATAGAACCAAAAACTTATTGCATGGCCTGCATAATTAAAGAGATCAACTGGCTGGAAGCAGATCAAGGCCTAACTTTATTCAAGACCTAAATATTATGAGAATCAATTATTCATTTCTTTGTGATATCTTGTCTATTCACTATGCAAAGGCTTTCCCAAGTATCTGCATAATCTTTGCAAATATTTGATGAGATGATGTTAGCCCATCTTCCTCCATCTGTTCCTATAATACTCTAAGAAAGGGGAAATTTGAGTAATTTCATTAAATGAATGGCTGTGGTGGACCTCTTAGTTTGTTCACTGAGTGGGTCGACTTGCGACTCTGGATTGATAACAGCTTTTCTTTACCTTGTCTATTAGCCACACATACACTTTCTCCTTATATCCAAAGTTCTTTGGTTCTAAAACTCAGAGCTGATAACTTCCCATGGTTACCTGTTATTTCAGATAAATATTTCTGCTTTCTGATAGTTACAGGTTTTCCACCCTATCCTTAATCTGGCACAGTTGTTTTCAGTTATGTCATGGTGATTTCAGGACTGTTACTGTATCTGAAACTTACAGACTTACAGTCGGTTTATTCTTGAAATATAAAGGAAGAAAAGTGACCTTTCTCAACCCATTCGCTTAATTCAAAATGCAGACAGTGTAATTTTTAAAATGTGGAACGAAGAATAAAAAGAAATGCTATCCCTCCAAAAGCACTGATCTCTTTTAGTTCTTTCAAATAATGAACAATCAGATGATATGTTGGGTACATATATTAATTCTGTTCCTAATAAGAATTAGATTGTAATGCATATGAGACTTTAAACCCAAAAATTAGCTTCACTATGAAACTTACTTCAGCTACCTCCCTAGCCTAACCCTGCCCCCAGCCCTCGTGGCCCAAAATAACCTCGCCACCCACTGACCACAGAGGGCAGTAACTCAGTTCCTTTTAGCCAGGAAGGGAAAACACAGTAAGTGTAAATAAGTACAGGTTACATAGCAGGTCTGAGCGAACAGGAGTTGAAACTAAAAGTCAAAGAGAAAGCTACGAAAAAGTTTCCATTTCAAGTCATTATGTTTTGGATAAAAAGGAGACCTAATGAAAGATGGGGGCAGGGAAAAGATTAGGAACTGGCAATCAGCCATAGAGGTGAAATAGGGAGGGAGGGACCACAAGAGGTGTGACACAGGTTGCTAATAGGCCACAAGTGTAGGTAAAGAAAAGAAAGCAGTATTATTTCAGTGACTGTTGACTTAGGCAGCTAGTCTAGACTAGGAGACTCAAATCCTCTCAGGGAAAAGTTGCCATCTTTCTATCTTTCTAATAATGCAAAGTATGTTTGTTTAAATGTCAGTATCTCCCATTGAGAGTTAATGCATATGAGTGCAATCTTTCCTAACTCTCTAAGATTCATCACAGAAATAAATTATTTTTTGAACTAAACTAGTAAGTCTTTAAAAAAAAAAAAAAAGATAAAATCGGAGATCTCCTTTTCCGCATATATGGCATGATTGGGCTGTGCCACAGGTTAGTTTCCTTACATGACATTTTGAGTATGTCATTTGTGAATGTTAGCATTATAAATGACAGGAGAATTTAAGAGTTGACTTGTATTTCTCTAGATGTTATAATAGCCCATAAGTTATACACCTGCTTAACCATACACCATTGATGTTACATGATACATGAAATAGGGAAAGGATGTTTTGATGGTATTGTGCTCTCTTAGAGTCAAAAGGATCCATTATGCAAAATTCATCTTCAAAATACTCAAAAGGAAAGCAGGTTATTCAAAATTGGGCTAAGCAATTAGCAAACTGAATTACCCTGCTTTCAAATATCCTATTGTGTTGCTCCATAAGTATAATCACACTTGTCTGACCTGTGTCTCAATATAGAATTCAAAAAGGTCACTGTACATAAACCCAGCTGTAAATGCTGGTAAAAAAAGATAAGTATCAGTGGGTTTTCTGTTTAATAGTGTCTAAACCACAAATATTTCCACGCTTTGGGTAGGTATGTGTTGAATTTCACAAGCACTGGGCGTAACTAGATGAGAATAATTTAAAATTTACAAGTGGATTATATTTTTGATATGTACCTAATTATTTTGACTATTCTATAATTTTTACTATATCCATAGTGACCATATGTTTTAATAATAGACATTTCATTGAAATGGCAAAGTAGAATTTCTCAGTTCCATGGTTATTTACTGATACTGAATGTGTTTTTTTCTTCCATCACTTAAAATAGAAAAAGTATTTTTGGAAATTTGTATGCTGTGGTATTAGAGCATGAATGTTTCAATCAAATCTAAGCTCTGTCAGTTATAAACTTGTAGCTTCAGGCTAATTTCAGATTCAGTGGCCTCATCGGCAAAATGAAGATAGTAGTCTGTTTAGGCAGGTACTATAAGAATTACATATCATACGTAAAGTATACAATAGACACTAAAATAAACCTTATTTCCCTTCTGTCCTACTACTCAGTTCCATTTTAAAACAAACAGCAAGTTTGAAAACTTGGTGTTACATTGCCATGCAGCTAAACAGCTGTGTGAAAAATGGCTGATAAATACTGTTATGTACAAAAGAGAAACTTATTTGAGGATGGTAAATAATAGCAAGAACTATCCTTTATACTGTGCAGGGTGCTTTCTGTGCACACACACACACACACACACACACACACATACATATGTGGCAGTACCTTGCACATTATATATATG